GACAAAAAGACAACACTCAGAATGGGAGAAAACATTTGCAAACGAATCAACAAAGGATTAATCTCCAAAACATATAAACAGCTCATGCAGCTCAATATTAAACAAACAACCCAACCCAAAAATGGGCAGAAGACCTAAATAGACATTTCTCCAAAGAAGACAAGAAGATATACAGACTGCCAACAAACACATGAAAGAATGCTCAACATCATTAATCATTAGAGAAATGCAAATCAAAACTACAATGAGATATCATCTCACACCAGTCAGAATGGCCATCATCAAAAAATCTAGAAACAATAAATGCTGGAGAGGGTGTGGAGAAAAGGGAACACTCTTGCACTGCTGGTGGGAATGTGAATTGGTTCAGCCACTATGGAGAACAGTATGGAGGTTCCTTAAAAAACTACAAATAGAACTACCATATGACCCAGCAATCCCACTACTAGGTATATACCCTGAGGAAACCAGAATTCAGAAAGAGTCATGTACCAAAATGTTCATTGCAGCTCTATTTACAATAGCCCGGAGATGGAAACAACCTAAGTGCCCGGGATGGATCTAGAGACTGTCATACAGAGTGAAGTAAGTCAGAAAGAGAAAAACAAATATCGTATATTAATGCATATATGTGGAACCTAGAAAAATGGTACAGATGAACCGGTTTGCAGGGCAGAAATTGAGACACAGATGTAGAGAACAAACGTATGGACACCAAGGGGGGAAAGCCGCAGGGGAGTGGTGGTGGTGGTGGGTGAATTGGGCAATTGGGATTCACATGTATCCATTTATGTGTAGAAAATTGATGACTAATAAGAACCTGCTGTATAAAAAATATAAATTAAACAAAAAAAAAAGAACAAAGTCCCTGATGAAAGGTTGTATGGAGTGAACTGGGAGAGAATTGCAACCATAATTTGAACACATATTTAAAGAAAGCAGAACAGAAGCACTTATATTTTATTCAAACTAGTGCCTTAGATATCAAAAGTAGTCACACCCTATGTTTTAGGCTTTGATATTTCAATGGGAAATCAGAGTGCACCCAGCGGGTAAGGGGCTCTGCCAGTCAGCTTGCTTCGAGAAAAAAAAGGAAAGCAGGTCTTTGAGGGATTTTGGATGAAAAGTGGGACACTTGATTTAGGTTAGTTGTAAATGGAACTGTGCTTTCTTCCTGTCCCTGGATGAAAGCCCTGACACCCTGGTTTAGGATATATAGGTCCTATATAGGAAGAAATAAGTATTTACTCATTTGTGTTTTGTTCTGAGTGGGAATTCAAGGTTAAATGTAAAACCTGTTGTTTCAGGATGACAGAGGGTAGGCAATACAAAGAAAAATTATTGGTCATACATACACTTGACCAATAAACGTTTACATTCATTTTCCCTCAGTAGGCTTAACAAGTCAGTGGGCTAACGGGGGGTGGAGAGGATTAAGGGTAACATGGTATTATCAGGAACAGTGGTCTCTAACTGCCTCAGCAGCTGTTTTGATGCCCAGTAAATGGCCTCTACCAGCAAAACTTTCTTCCTCCAGTCCATATAAGGTGGTTGGAATCACCTAAGGTTTGTGGCTACAGACAACTCAATTCATTCTCCAGGAGAGAGACAAAGAGATGATGCTCTGCTTAGGCTTTTATGATAAAATTTACCAATAGCTGGTATCGATGCTTCCATCCTTCTTTCAAACGCAAGCAACTTCTTGCTTTTCAGGTTAAAAACATGTTTTTCTGCCTTAAAATTTTTTTCTCAAAACAACACGTTCAACGAACAAGTTTTTCATAAACATGTTTATGACATTTACTAAGAATAAAATAGTTGATTTTGATAAGGTTGTGGGAGACAGATGAGGCATTCTTTACAAACTTACATGCATCACAATCACCAGTCACGTGCTAGCCACCTTATAAAGGTAGTCTCATTTAACACCTGACCCCCGCCTCCAAGAAGTCCTGAAATGCCACTATGACATTCATTTTACTGACGAAGAAACAAACTCAGAAAAGTCACAGCTGCAAAGTAAAACAGCAAGATGAGAACCCAGTTCTATCTGAATAGACAGCACATTTTTACACTTACTGAACTATATCGTTTCTCTTTACCTTATGCTGTCTTAACCTAGGCTAGTATATCTGAGACATGGGTACATATTATTATGTATTATCTGAGGACTCCCCAGATTTTAGAGTGAAGCCAAGGGAAAAAAGCAGTATACCAAACCTTAGTCCTGGGTCACGTAGGCAGGCACAAGACATTCCATTATGCCATCTAAAACCAAATAATTTTTCCTCAGAAATAAATCCTTCTCTGAACTTCCTTATTTACTTTTGTCATTACCACTGTTCTAGTCATCCCAATTTAAAATCCTTAACGAAGGCATAATCAGGGCTTATAAATTAATGATGTGATAAGGGCAATGCTAACTATATGGTCAACATTTATGAGCACAGAAGATTTCAGAATCAATTCTGTAGGGTGAGAGACATAGTGAAGGCTGTTCCAAGGAAGTTATTTATGAGCTGGGCTGAATCCTGTTTGCCTAGAGAAATAAGGCAAACAGTAGATGTTTGCCTGAACAGTAGATGAAAGTTTGAATATATATAGCTTCTCTCCCTCTACATTCAATAAACCACCAGCTTATCTGGTTCTTCCTTCACAATATTTTTTTACACTTGCCCCTTTTCCACCCCTCATAGTTGTATATTAATACAGATCACCTCATAGTTGTATACTATGTATTACTATGACATTTCTGATTTAATAGTTTTTTCCTTCCTTTAAATACTCAGACACCACTAACAGACTAACTTTTAAAAAGTATCTGCTTTTACATGACCATGGAAACTTCAGAAGTTCCCTACTGACTTTGAAGTATAAAGTTCAAACTCAAAGTCTTCCACAATCTGCGAGCTATATACTTAAATTTCCCCCTAGAACAACCAAGTCAACAGATGAAATAACACCTGACCCAGTGTAGGCTTCAAGCCATCAGCAAACTTTTACTGATTTACTGGGTGGAAAAGTCAGGGCCTCTGGAAGTTACTGGGAAGACAGTTGTGAACCACTCACAAATCTCTAGGAGTTTATATTATGGTAAATGACAACCAGACATGAACATAGAAAGCTAACTTTAGAAGAAGGCACCTGTCCCACAAGCCAGATTATAAACATGCTTAGTGTTCAATGGAGAGATGGATAAAGGGCTTAAGCTGGACTTTGATTAACTATATAAGTAAATGTTTATTGGCTTATATAGTTTGGTTTTCAACTCATTATTAGAATGGACACTGTTAGCTCTTGTTCAGTTCAGCATCTACTGAGCATAGTGTACTGAACAGAAGCCATTCTACATGAAATAGGAGAAGGCACAACTTTTCTTTGCTCTTAAGCCAGCCCCTTCTCCAAGAAGTACAATTAGGGCCTGCATTCAAAACAATAAATGAAGGACAGAATTTCACTAGTAGTTAAATAGAAAGGCAGAAGAAAGGGGAGTATTCCATGATGGAATCTAAAAATATACATCAGAGCTTCTATAGATCTGGAAATGTTATGAAAACTTTAAAGCCATTATTATTGTATGAGTGTTCGGATACTTACCATTTAGAAATGGTACCAGAAGACTACTCCGCTTATGATTCAATCAGTTCTCCAAATGCAACCAGAGTGATTTTTTTCCAAAACACAGATCTAAGCATGTCACCACTTACTTCATGAAATCTTTCAATAGCACCCCATTTTTCTTAGGATAGACAAACTCCTTAACAGGTCTACAAGATCCTCCATGGCCTGACCCCTACCTATCTTTCAGTCAACCCCATCACTGGCCTTTTTTGTTCTCATTTTCCCTGCTGTAGTTAACTCTTACCTGCCCTTCAGGTCTCAGCTCAACTGACACTTGCACAGGTAATTACCTGATCAGAGCAAAACCTCTACTAAATCCTGTACTTCTCTGAAGTATTTATAACAGTTTTAGTTTTATATTTGTGTGATTATTTAATGTCTATCTCTACTATAGGCTGTAAAGTCTAAAAAGGCAGAGATTTTAGACTAAATTTTTCCACAGAACGACAAATATGTAAAATGTTATTTAGAATATGTACATTATTTTAAGTAGTTCTAGCCTACAGGATAAGTAGCATATATCCTCCCAGGCACTACTACTCCAAAACCTATAAAACATCTATATTTAAATAATAACTATAAGCTTATGTTTATCTGTAAAATATGGATAATCTTAAGGATGAGCTACACATATTAAATGAAAAGATATAACGTTCTTAAAACAATGCAAGGCACATGGTAAATGTAAGGCACATGGTAAATAACATTATTCATAGTGCCTATGAATAATAATAAGCCCTAGTCCTAATTAATTCATATGTATAAAAAGTGTATCTCTCCAAACATTATTTTTGGCTGCGCTGTGCAGCTTGCAGGATCTTAGTTCTCCGACCAGGGATTGAACCTGGGCCACAGCAGTGAAAGCGCCGAGTCCTAACAACTGGACCACCAGGGAACTCCCCAAACATTTGATTTATATAACAGAATAATTCTGATGTTCTTTCAAACTGTTAAAATGATTCTGAGAAAGATAAGAGATTCAAGAATTGCTACATCTGGGCTTCCCTGGTGGCGCAGTGGCTGGGAGTCCGCCTACCGATGCAGGGGACACGGGTTCGTGCCCCGGTCCAGGAAGATCCCCCACATGCTGCAGAGCGGCTCGGCCATGAGCCATGACCGCTGAGCCTGCGCGTCCGGAGCCTGTGCTCCACAACGGGAGAGGCCACAACAGTGAGGCCCGTGTACCGCAAAAAAAAAAAAAAGAATTGCTACATCTTTTGTTACAATTTTTAAGATAGTTATTCTTATCAGTTTTCCCCCTATTATTTACTATAGCCCAGATTTGTTATTTTTTAAGACACATACAAGCCATTAAAATATGTACTTAAAATACACAGATACCTAAAATTTATCTCAAAATGCATATTTTATTTTGGTAGCCAATGACCATCAATCAAACAAAGAAAAGAAAACTAATTTCATGATGGAAGACAAATCTATGGAGTGGTTTACAGGAAATGAAGAATGAGACGGCTCAACTAAACAAACTTGGAATCATTAACTACAAAATGTCAAACTAACTGCAAGACAAGTGTCAAAATGGGACATTTAAGCAGTTTCGAAATGTTACAAATCTTTCTCTAGCTTTTGTTACTTTTCAAAATTACATGTAAAAGTTATACAAATCATAGAAGTAGCTAAGAATACCAATCTATGAAAGTAGTGATTTGCAATACAAAGTTCTATTTTGATATTTTTCTTCACATCTTCAAATCAGTTGTCATCTGAGGTACTCAGTTAAGTTATGGTTTGCACTTCCTCAACTTGACAAGAAAAGCTAATTTGAAGGGAGGAAAAGGTAAGGTCATTGCAATTATGAGAAGAAAACACCATATAATATAGCATGAAAAACTTACCTGTATGACCAGCTTGCCAGTGTATAGGTCTAGCAATATAGGGAAATGATCCATAGGGAAAATCAGAATGTGATTCTTCTGTTATAGAACGAAATATGTATTGTAAGCTACAAAAAATATTTTATAATTTGTTCACAAAACTGTTAAAAAACAAATTATTGTCCTTTTCCTGTAAGTTTTTTTCTCTCAGACTTTTTTTGTTTTTAGCATTTGTCTTGGAGCTATTCTGACAGTTATCTTACAGAAACAACTTGTCAAGGATGACATGATAAACCTATATATGGTTTTATAACCAAATGGATAAGCTCATATCATAAATCAATGGATGTCTGAAAACTTGTTTATGGCCTAAGTAATGTGTACATACAACAAGGACCTAAATTTAGTTCTTTGAAAAATTCCTAGAAGTTGCTTTTTGGAATATTAGCTATTTGCATATCGGGTCCTATTAAATTCTTTCCCTTCAATGATAATCACTGATCTAAATTTACAACATTCTTTAGTATATTTAAAGTATTTCATAAGCCAATCCCCTTGTCACAAGTAAAATATGAATATTATAAGAAGTTCAGTTCTTCAAAAGTATCAGAGTTTTACATAAAAGGCAGGAAAAGTCATGATTCTGTCTCTTAAAAGATTTTAATTTAACAGAATAAATACCACATTTCAATTTCTATAGGAAAAACATAATAAATCCCTGAGAAATATTTTTATAATGTATTGCCCAAAACATTCAGGAATGTATTCTCCATTTATTACTGCAAACACATGCATAAAATAAAACTGAAGCTCACCATGGTCATCTTCTTGAAACATCTCACCTTCAATTCTAATTTTCTTTTGAGAATGTAATTGTAAATCTCTGTTGATTTTAGGTTCCACTTTTTGAGGTAAAATTCCATTTTTCTGTTTTGCAAGGCAAACCAACCAATCTCTGACAATAACTTCACTTATCTTTTCACATGAGAGGGCAAGTTCACGGATGCGAATTCCATCTAAAAGTTCAATAACCTGTGTGATGCTTTCAAAAAAGTGAAAAATATAGTTTAAATTTCTACTACAACAATAAATTTATATTTAAGTTCACTTTACCTCTTACCCCAATTTAAATGGTATGCTTAAATCAAAAGGGAAAAAATGTAAAAATGCAAGTTAGGGCACATAAGAGGAGAATACTAAGTAAAAACAATAAAGAGACTATAACATCATTGTTCACATTACACTTTTAAAAACTTTTCTTCTAAATTGTCAGAAGAAATATTCATCTTATATTACCATTTATGTAAAGGATGATTTAAACAGCAATATAACTGAATTTGGGACATATGCTGTTTCATAACAGGTTTTTTTTTGACTTTTTAAAAATTTTATTTATTTTGGGCTGCATGGGGTGTTCATTGCTGTGCGCAGGCTTTCTCTAGTTGTGGCGAGAGGGGGCTACTCTTCGTTGCAGTGCATGGGCTTCTCATTGTGGTGGCTTCTCTTGTTGTGGCACATGGACTTAGTTGCTCCACAGCATGTGAGATCTTCCCAGATCAGGGCTTGAACCCATGTCCCTTGCATTGGGAGGCAGATTCTTAACCACTGTGCCACCAGGGAAGCCCTTCATAACAGTTTTACGAGATAACATATACACTTAACTCAGTTACAAAATGAACACTTTAGCCTAGTACTTAAAACAAAACTGTGTTTAAAATAACATTACCAAAAAGTCACATTACTCACTTTGCTAGATACACAGCACATACACCACCCTGTTTAAGATTTGGGTATAAAACAGGCAAAGCAACTTGAGGATTCAACATATCCAAAGCTACCTGTAGTGGGGGAAAGACAATCAGACTGAGTTTTGTTTAAATAAAGCATGTGTTTTCTTTTCTTATTGAGGTGAAATGATACACTTTGGGAAAGCAATTACCCAGTTAAAGTATTTCATTTTTTAGAATGTAATACTAATGACTGTCGTTTTACCCCTCTCAAAAAGGCATACTTATAATTATACAATTTGTCATAGTACTTGACTACCTAAAAATTGTAATGGCATGTCTTGTACTTGGCAATATTGATAATACAGGAATCTGTAGCTATATTTTATACACATACCTAGATACACACACACACACACACACACACACACACACACAGTTGCCCCTTGAACAACATGGGTTTGAACTGCGCGGGTCCGCTTAATGCAAGGATTTTTTTCAATAGTAAACACTACAGTACTACACAATCTGCGGTTGGTTGAATCTGAAGATGTGGAACCCTGGATATGTTGGAACCATGGATAGGGATGGCCGACTATAAGTTATACTCAGATTTTTGACTGCACGTAGGAGTGGTGCCCCTAAACCCCATGTTGTTCAAAGGTCAACTGTGGGCTTCCCTGGTGGCGCAGTGGTTGAGAGTCCGCCTGCTGACGCAGGGGACACTCGTGCCCTGGTCTGGGAAGATCCCACATGCCGCGGAGTGTCTGGGCCTGTGAGCCACGGCCGCTGAGCCTGCGCGTCTGGAGCCTGTGCTCCGCAACGGGAGAGGCCACAACAGTGAGAGGCCCGCGTACCGCCAAAAAACAAACAAAAAAAACAAAGGTCAACTGTATATGTAAAGTTTCAATGCTTTACTTCAGCTTTTGGCAATAGAAATTCATATTATCTCAAATATGTATTTTTATGTTCAAAAGTTTTGAATATTAATTTTAGAGATTCTAAAATTCAAGAATCATGTCCCTTATTTCTTTACTCTTCATTCAGTTGCAGAATACAGGGCTGTACTCAAAAGATGTTGAATGAATGCAGAGTAAATGAAATTACAAAAAAATTCACTGAAAACAAAAATACATTCAAATAGAAAATAAAGTGACTTACTGATAGCTCTAGAAATCAAATGTAGTTGGCACATCATTATATTTACTAAATTAGAAATTATTCTGTTTATGTGTTTTAAAAAAACAGTTAATAATGGGTCATCATTCATTATTAATTTATTCACCAAATATTTACTGAGTATCTACCATGTGCCAAGTATTTTGCTAAGTGGTAAAAATATAATGGGAGCTTATATTCTATTTTGTTTCATAGGAACTTATATTCTAATTAAGGAATAGGCAGTAAACAAAAATCTAATAAATATGTAATTCAGAGGGTAATGAGTGACATGAAGAACTACAGGATTATAAAGGAGGACATGAAGGATAGAATGACAGGGCAGGGGAAGGAAGTACTATTTTATACATAGGCTGGTCAGTGACAATACCTAAAGAAAATGATTAAGGTTACCCTGTGGAAACTAAGGGGGGAAGTGTGCTCCAGATGCAGAGAACAGCAAATACAAATGCTCTGAGGCTGTAGGATACTTGGTGAGTCCGAGAAGGCCACAGTCGCTGCAGTGGAGACAAAAGGGGGAAAGTGGTAAGAGAAGAGCTCTCAGATGGTGGGGATGTGGTGGGGATGGGGAGGGACAGATTATGCAGAATCTTACAGACTTTAACTTTACTCAGGAAGAGAAAAGTCACTGGAGAGTTTGAGACATGGTCTGACTTTTTAAACTTTTTTGAATGTGATAAACATAACATAAAAGTTGCCATTTCAAGTGTACAATTCAGTGGCATTAAGTACATTCTGACTTGGGCAAGGAAAGATGATGGTGACTTGCAATAGCAAATAGCATTGGATGTGATGAGAACACAGAGCCAATTAGAATTAGAATTGGCTGTCAGATGTGAGAGAAAGAAGTGAGAATGAATCCAGTGTTTTCATCCTAAGCTACTGAAAGAATGGAGATGTCATTTACTATTGAGGAAAATAATTGAAGACAACGGGAAGAATAAGCTTGGGGAGAAATATTCGAGAATTCAAGATTTGGACACAAGTTTAAGATGTCTATTAGGGCTTCCCTGGGGGCACAGTGGTTGAGAATCCGCCTGCCAGTGCAGGGGACACGGGTTCAATCCCTGGTCCGGGAGGATCCCACATGCCGCAGAGCAACTAAGCCCGTGAGCCACAACTACTGAAACCCATGCACCACAGCTGCTGGGAGCAACTAAGCCTGCTCTCCACAGCTGCTGAGGCCCACGCACCTGGAGCCCGTCTCCGTAATGGGAGAAGCCACCGTGATGGGAGGCCCACGCACCGCAGCAAGGAGTGGCCCCCACTCGCCACAGCTGGGGAAAGTCCACGTGCAGCAAAAGGGACCCAATGCAGCCATAAATAAATGAATGAATAAATAAATAAATACTTAAAAAAAAAGATGCCTATTATATATCCAAGTAAAGATCTCAATGATTAATCAAAGGGTCAACGGTGTGGACATAAATTGGTTTCTGTGACTGTAGTTTTAGTATATTATCAACAAGGACCAAAAATAATACTACCAAGAAGCCTGCCAATCCAAAGCTCCATGGCTCAGCTCACAACATTACCATTCATTAGCCACTCAAATCAGGAACTTACAGTCACTATTTCTTTACCTTGAATTCTTTTTTGAGAATCTGTGGGGTTTTGATGCTTTTATTTGGATTAAAATTACCCAGTCCTACAAATCTACCTCTTAGTATTTCTCAAATTCATCCTACTGCTAATGCTTTAGGTCAGGACCTCATCATATCTTGTTGAAACATTACAATAGCTTTCTACATAGACTATGTAAATTCCATTCTTTCACCAGAATTATTCTGAAACAGGAATCTGGACATTCTACTCCCCTACTTAAGAACTCATCAATAGTTTTCCATTATCTAAAAGATAATGTCCACATGTCCTAACTTGATATACACACAAGTGTTCTTCATTATCTAGTCCCTCATGACTGTATTTGCATCTTCATCTGCTCATTAGACCCAATTCTACAGCCATAATGTTTCATGCTTCTGAGTCTTTCTAATAAATGTTTATATGTCTACCTTTTCTTCTATATCGAAACCTCCTTTAAATGTATGATTCATTTTTGTCTTAGCATAGTACACGGCACACAGCAGGTCTCTAATACATATTTGTTGAATCAAGAAAGTGGTTCAGTAATTCAGAGAAAGATGATAATCCTCCACTTAGATGATTAAGGTATATTCCATGGAGGAGACAACCTTTTATCTAAGCTTTGAAGGAAGAGTAGAATTTAAACAGGTAGGGACTTCCCTGGTGGTGCAGTGGTTAAGAATCCGCCTGCCAATGCAGGGGACATGGGTTCGAGCCCTGGTCCGGGAAGATCCCACATGCCGTGGAGCAACTACGCCCATGCACCACAACTACTGAGCCTGCACTCTAGAGCCCGCAAGCCACAACTACTAAGCCCGTGTGCCACAACTACTGAAGCCCACACGCCTAGAGCCTGTACTCCACAACAAGCGAAGCCACTGCAGTGAGAAGCCCGCACACTCCAACGAACAGTAGCCCCCACTCGCCGCAACTAGAGAGAGCCTGCGCGCAGCAATGATCCAATGCAGCCAAATAAATTAATTAATTAATTAAAAAAAATAAACAAACAGGTAGAGAAAAGGGAAACGGAGAAAACTAATAATGATGGAAATCATAGCTAATATTAATTTAATGCTTACTATATATCAGGTACTGTTCTATGCACTTTACAGAAACACCTAATTTAATCCTCAACAACACTATGAAATAGGTATTATTATTGATTACTATTCTTGTTTAATACATGAGGTGACTGAGGCACAGAAAGATTAAGTAATTTACCCAAGATCATATTGGCTATTATGGAGCCTAAGTGAACCAGGATGAATAAACTCCAAAACTTACTTCCCTCTATTCACTCCCTCCTTTTCTCTCCTCAGAGATAATCATTGCCCTGAAGTTGGTAATGTTGCCAAATAATTTTATGCTTCTACAACATATGTATATAGCTACAAATAATACATGGTACTGTTTTTAAATTTTTACATATATGTAGCCATTCCATACTTATTCTTGAATAATTTGTTTTTCACTAAGTTCTATGAGATTTTTTTTTATTGGAGTATAATTGCTTTACAATGTTGTGTTAGTTTCTGCTGTACAATGAAGTGAATCAGCTATATGTATACATATATCCCCTCCCTCTTGGACCTCCCTCCCATCCCCCACCCATCCCACCCATCTAGGTCATCACAGAATACTGAGCTGAGCTCCCTGTGCTATACCGCAGGTTCTCACTAGCTATCTTACACATTGTAGTGTATCTATGTCAAATCTAATCTCCCAATTCATCCCACCCTCCCCTTTCCCCCCATGTCCACACGTCTGTTCTCTACATCTGCATTTCTATTCCTGCCCTGGAAATAGGTTCATCTGTACTATTTTTCTAGATTCTACATATATGCATTAATATACGATATTTGTTTTTCTCTTTCTGACTTACTTCACTCTGTGTGACAAACTCTAGGTCCATCCACATCTCTACAAGTGACCCAATTTTGTTCCTTTTTATGGATGAGTAATGTTCTATTGTATATATGTACCACATCTTCTTTATCCATTCATCTGTCAATGGACATTTAGGTTGTTTCCATGTCCTGGCTATTGTAAATAGTGCTGCATTGAACATTGGGACATATGTGTCTTTTTGAATTATGGTTTTCTCAGGGAGATTTATTGATGTAGATACAGTACCTTTATTTCACTATGTTAAATAATACCATTGTTAGTATTCCACCATGTCCATTCCTCTTTTGATGGTTAGGTTGTTTACAAAATGTATTAAAATTTGTTTAAAATCTTTTATTAGCCATTTTTTTCTTGTTCTGTTCTCTTTGTCTTTGTGGTTTAACACCTTTTTTATTCACCTACCTCATTTGAGATGGCAGGAGTATAGGCAGGTTATATAAAAAAGCTAAAGAAAGGAAGGTTGAGATCAGATTCTGAAGGACACCATAAATCTTTGAATGAAAAGTTCCTAATTGGTTTCTCAGCAGGAGAGTGACAGTATGAGAACTAGATTAGTCTAAAGATGAGGAGAATGGATTGGAAGTGTGAAGGCCCAGGAGGTGAGATGGCAGCTAGGAGAGGAATTAAGTAGTCAAGGAAGCAATAATCAACTAGGATAACAATAACCAGAAATCAAGTGGTGGGAACATGCATAGAAATTTATGTTTACTAGTATGGAGGTTCCTTAAAAAACTAAAAGTAGAGTTGCCATTCAAAAAGATACATGCACCCCCATATTCACAGCAGCACTATTTACAACAGCCGAGATATGGAAGCAACCTAAATGTCCACTGATAGATGAATGGATAAAGAAGATGTGGTACATATACACAATGGAATACTACGCAGCCATAAAAAAGAATGAAATAATGCCATTTGCAGCAACATGGATGGACCTAGAGATTATCATACTAAGTGAAGTAAGTCAGAAAGAGAAAGATAAATACCGTATGATATCACTTATAAGTGGAATCTAAAATACAGCACAAATGAACTTATTTATGAAACGGAAACAGACTCATAGACATAGAAAATAAACTTCTGGTTACCAAAGGGGAAAGGGGGTGGGGGAGGGATGAAGTAAGAATTTGGGATTAACAGATACAAACTACTATATATAAAATATCAATAGATGAATGAGGTCCTACTGTATGAACTATATTCAATATCCTGTAATAAACCACAATGGAAAGGAATATGAAAAAGAATATGTATATATATGTACAACTGAATCACTTTGCTGTACACCAGAAAATAACACAACATTGTAAATCAACTATACTTCAACAAAATAAATAAATAAACATCCTTTCCCCCAAAGATATTTATGTTTACTATACACCTCTTGAGTTTTGGTCAAGTGCTACCCTCAAGCAGGACTTTCACCAACTGACAATTTTTAGAGACTTTTTTAAAGAAAGGAAAATTCTTCATGATCTAGCTTTAACTTAATAATTCTATATTATGAGTAATTTATTTATGAACACCAACTATAATTCTCTGCCCCAATAGTATATGACTCTTCCCCAGAAGTTGACAGCTCTCCTCCTTCTATATGCTCTGAGTATTCATCTGACACTATTATTCAAGAGAGACTCAATTGAAAAAATCTAGTAAGGAGTATTCTTTCCTTTGGAACAGGGATGGATGTTTCAGCAGGTTTCCACAAGGTTGTAACAATACTGTTAAAACCCTTTGTTGTGTTTCATGCTCATCAAGCAAAATTCTGATGACCAATTAAACTCCCACGTATCTGTGACATTCCTATGGATGGCCAAAGTAGAACAAGTCCTCTTTCTGCCCTTATTGAGCTATATAATATGCAAGCCAAACAAGGATGAGAAAAAAAAAAAAAACGGTGGTCCTTGTGTCCAGGAAGCTGTGCCACTGTAGCTATTGGCTTTAGTTATATCAGAGATAGGAACCAGTCCTGATAAAAATCACCTCTTTGAACTTTACTTCATTTCTCACCTAGTTTCTCTTATAAAGTTCCTAAAATAATCTAAGTTTCCAATAGCCAATTAAGAAAAGTGAAGAAGGGACTTCCCTGGTGGCACAGTGGTTAAGAATCCACCTGCCAATGTAGGGGACACGGGTTCGAGCGCTATTCCAGAAGATCCCACATGCTGCGGAGCAACTAAGCCCATGCGCCACAGCTACTGAGCCTGCGCTCTAGAGCCCGTAAGCCACAACTACTGAGCTCATGTGCTACAACTACTGAAGCCCACACACCCAGAGCCCATGCTCCGCAACAAGAGAAGCCACCACAATGAGAAGCACGTGCAACGCAATGAAGAGTAGCCCCTGCTCGCTGCAACTAGAGAAAGCCCGTGTGCAGCAACAAAGACCCAACACAGCCAAAAATAAACAACATAAAATAAATAAATTTATTAAAAAAAAATGAAAGAAAAGCAAAGAAGACTTCTTACCCAGACCTCAGTCCATAGTGTCAAGTCATGAACTGATAATGGCATCATCAAGGATAAGGCAACTTAAACTAGAATTGTGAAACTCTGAGGTCATCTAATAGTACTATGGCCCATATCTCCACCATCACTGGTCACAGCTTAAAATGGCATTCTCTCGTCATCTATCCTTTTGTCTTCATACTACTCTGCTTCTCCTGCCCTAACTCAACCTCCCACTCCTCCCTCTCCTCACAAATCCCTCCACTCCACTTTCTGGAGCTTTGTTCACAATAAATATGCCTCTATCCTCAACATCTTTAATTGACACTCCTCTACATCCTACTTTAACTGTCTGAAGATGCCTCTTGCCTCTTCCCTCAAAACTGAAGGCTATTTATTCCCCCAAATCTCACAATATGAGGTCAGGTGCGGGGCTCAGTATGCTCCCAATGCTGCTTCCAAATTATTCCTTTATCCTAGAAACGTTGAAGTTCATGATGCTCAACTACTCCTCCTAGTATTTCATCATTACCCCACATTTATTAACAACTTTGGCGCCTAATTCAGTATATCTCTCTGCTCTAAATCCCACCATGATATTAAAGGAAAATATTCCTCCCACTCTTAGAGATAGAAATGGGGCAAATAATGAAGGAAGATCCTTTTCCATATAAAAGAAGCATGGTCCTTGTTTTCTTTGTACTCAGTATTAGGTAATATCATAGGACTACTTTAGAAAACTTACCGCATCAAATGTTAAAGATTTTATGTCTTCAGTTGCTCTTAAAATATCCTTATGAATAAAATCCACGTTGTCTGGCCACTCTTCTACGTGACTCATTTTCCATGAATCACGCCAGTGTTTGTAATTCTTCTTAGCCAGTTCATGGTGGTCTTTTCTAATTTCAAAACTTATGACTCGTCCTTGTGATCCAACTTAATTAAAAAAAAAATTATGACATTACACAGTATTAATCAGTACATAAAGAATGTCAAAATTTTATTTTGCAAAGATATTACATGGATGTGAAAAAATAATTCAAATAGTTCAAGGTTACAAAAGTCTCTACCCTATCCCAAATACCCAATCAATCTCCCTCATCAGAGACAATCATTCCACCATAGTTATTTACCCTTCCTGAGAAAGTCGCTGCCTATAGTACAAGTGTGCAAGTATCTTTCTCTGTTTTTAACACACGTTGTTACCTATCATATATACTGTCCTGTACCTTCCTTCTTATTTACCAATGCCATTTCAGTGATTAATGATCTACTATGTTCCTTTGTATGACTATGCCACAGTTTATTTAACCAGTCACCTACTGATGAACATTTAGCTTGTTTCTAGTCTTATGCTATAACAAACAATATTGCAATAAAAATTATTTTGCCTAAATCTTTGTACACATGAGCCAGTATATCTATAGGATAAAGTCCTAAAAATGGAACTGCTGACTCAAGGGATATGTGAATATTTTTATTTTGAAAATTATTACCAAATTGTCCTCCAAAAAAACAATGATACCAATTTACACTCGACCAACAATGTATTAGAGTGCCTATTTCTCCATATTCTCTCCAACAAAGAGTTATCAAACTTTTTACCTGTGTCAATCTAAAAATTGCATATAGTTTATCATTGTAGTTTTAATCTGCATGTCTTTTGCTATGGATGAAGCTAGGCCTTCCAGATACTTAAAAGATACTCGTTTGTTTGTTTTTTTAATTTATTTATTTTTTGGCTGTGTTGGGTCTTCGTTGCGGTGCTCGGGCTTCTCTTGTTCCAGAGCATGGGCTCTAGGTGCATGGGCTTCAGTAGTTGTGGCATGTGGGCTCAGTAGTTGTGGCTCGCAGGTTCTAGAGCACAGGCTCAGTAGTTGTGGCACACAGACTTCGTAGCTCCGTGGCATGTGGGATCTTCCCAGACCAGGGCTCGAACCCATGTCCCCTGCATTGGCAGGCGGATTCTCAGCCACTGCACCATCAGGGAAGCCCCAACACTTGTATTTTTGTGTGTGTCTGAAAAACTTTCAAACTATTTATCACAGTAATACTGCAGTTTCACAGAAAACTACTACATTTTAACTTACGGCAATTAATTTTCTACCCACCTCTATGTGAGGTGATTTGATACCATTTGGAGGCTGTCCCAGATCAATCAGTCTATAGTTAAAATGAAGAGTTTAAATTGCAGCATGTCTCTTTAAAATGTAAGTCCAGCTGTAAGTCATCATGTTCTCAAGGGATAAAAATTAATGTTAATAGTAGCACAAGCTAAACACTTAGAAAATTATGGTGAAAATAAATTTATCCTGAAAGTAAACAGCAATAATTTCTTGATCACTCATAGTTTGGGATTATTTATGTCATGATATTCCTCCAACACTATAGATATTAGAAATACAAACATTCCTCTTGTTTCACAAATTTTTTATAAATTCACTTTGTCAAATGCATTTAGGAATCTGTCACAGATTGTGAAGAAATGGCTGCCTTTAACTATGCACAGAAAAGAGTCCAATAAAAGATGTGAGGAGCCCAAAATGAATTTCCTGACCCAGTATAAATTGGATTATGTTTGTATGTGATGACATTAGGTCAAAAAACAAAAGGTTTAAGTTTAATTCAGTATATGTCTATCTGTAATCTTTATAAAATCTACCCACATACACCTACAACTGCTCTAACAATGTTTATTAGCTAAAAAAGAATGCATTAATAAAACCAACATGAATGATTAAAAAAAAAATCTACCAAAAGAGAATGCTGTCTATTATTAGGTGAGAAAGGGAACACTGCAGAGGCAGCCAAACAAGCCAAAGCAATGCTGACAATCAGAGGAATTAAGTGGTCAAAGGGAGCAATAATCAACTACAATAACAGTAACCAGAAATCAAGTGGTGGGAACATGAACAGATATTTATGTTTACTATATACCTCTTGAGTTTTGATTAGGTGCTACCTTCAAGCAGTACTTTTACCAACTGACAATATTTAAAGACTTTCTTAAAGAAAGGAAAATTCTTCATGATCTAGCTTTAGCTTAATAGTTCTATATTACGTATTAATTTATTCATGAACAGCAAAAATAATTCTTTGCCCCGATAGTATATGACTCTTCTCCGGCAGCTGACAGCCCTCCTCCTTCTATATTCTCTCATACTGAGTATTCACTTGGCACTATTATCAACAAAAACATGTACATGTGTGCACAAAAGACAAGTACAAGAATGTTCAGAGAAGCACTATTCACAATGTTCAACTCAAATACCCATCAACAGCAGAATGGATAAACTGTGCTTTACTTACAAAAATGGCAACTAAAATGAAATAACCATCGCTACATGCAATGGCTGAATCTCACAAACAGAATGTTGAATGAAAGCAACCAGATTCAAAAGAGTACAATACTACAGGATTCCTTTTACGTAAGATTCAAAACAGGCAAAACTAATCAATGGTGATAAAAGTCAGAGTGGTGGCTACCTTCTACCTTTGGGTAGGATAAGGACTGAGAAGGGATTTGAGGAGGTTTCGGTGGTACAATAACATTCCCTGTCTTGATCTGGGTAATAACTACGTGAGTGTGGTCACGATATAAAAATTCAGTGAGGTATACACTTATGATCTGTGTACTTTTCTGTAGCTATGTTATGTTCTAAAAAAAATTTAGTTAAAAAAAAGCGTGGAGGGAGCAACAGAAAGCAAACAGAGAGAGGGTTAGACAGAGAATGACTTGAATAAATGTACAAAATGGAAAGAAAAACAGTTGCTTACATTTGATTTCAAGGAGAATGCTCTCTATCACAAAGTTATGTGAATATTTTCTGAAACATCTGTATCTATTTAACTTCCCGTTATTATGAACAGATTGAATGTTTTCTTTGTCATCTAAATTCAACTCATTTATCCCAATCTCTTACCTGTTTTGGATAAAAACAAGCTCATTCCACCAGAGCCCGAGCCAGCTTCCAAAACAGTATCACCTGGGTGGATATTCATCATCAACAGTATCATATTCATATCCTATGATTGAAATACAGCATGGGTGACTCTGTGATCAATAAATATGTACTAAGCACCTAGGCTTACAAACACTATGTTGGACTTGGAGAAAAGAAGTGAAAAAAAAAAAAAAAGAATTAAACTCTGGCCCTGCCTACCAAAAGTTTATATTTTACTTGATGAAATGAGAGATGCAAGAATCAGGTAGCAAATACAGAAGCACTTCAGTATAATATTGAAATTACAGAAAATAAGTAAGAATAGGAGTTCAGAGAAAGGAGAAATCAGCAGACTGCCCTACCTTAAAGACATAGAGAATTTAAGGAAACAGTCATAAAGTGGAAACAGTTTTAAACAAAAAAGAGGTAGAGTAATAAACACAGTTTGCCCATCTCAGGAGGTGCAGTAAGGAGAGACCTGAATCTATGCTAACGCATCTGAACTTAACCTGGTAAGTAAGTAACTGGGGCATGGTAAGTAACTGGTAAGTAACTGGGGCATGTCACTGAGGTAATATTAATGGCATTTTATAAAGATTAATCTGTGAGACGAATATAGGATGTACTAGAATAGAAAAAAATTAGAGGTATAAAGACCAGTTAGGAAGTTATTACATAATCTCTGCATGAAATGATGAATGCTCATTTAGAATTAGGATACCAGGAATAGACAGGAGGACTCATTTGCCAAACTTTATAACTAAAGAATTGTTTTGTTAACAGGAATATCATGGACGATAGTAGTAATAGCTGTTTATTGAAACTTCACCAGGTGCCAGGCTTCTGTTAACTATGCAAACTGCTTTCAAACATTATCTTGTTTAATCAGAATAATAATATGAGAAAAGTATCACCATCCCATTATAAGGATGAGAAATCAAAAAAGTAATTTGCCCAAAGTCACACAGCCAGGAATCAAGTGGGCAAGTCAGGGGTAGAACTGATGTTGTACTCCCAAACATCTCCTAACCACGCTGTTGATCATTTCACTATATATTACAAATGCTATAGAGAGAGAAAATTTTAAATGTTAGCATTTATTTCAACATCCCCCCCAATAACAAACCTTTTGAAGTCGCTAATAAGCAGCACATCTGGTAAGGTTTTACTATCTTTTCCTTCTCTGACAAAAGCTGCTGTGAAAATTCTAAAAGAAACAGGAGGTTTTCTAGGATCCTCTGTTGAGTCACAACAAAGTTGTGTATTAAATATAGGTTTGGATGCATAAGAAACTATTTAACAGGTACAGTTATCTAATTAAAAGCCAAAATGTATTTTCTGAAATGATGGACTAAGGCTTGAACCAAATGATACTTAGACACATAATTCTTAAAGTGTATTAGTCAAAAAGTTTCATTAACAAATTCAGTCTTTCAGACGTACATATCCTCTCCCATCTGCCAGGCACGTGGGAGTAGAGGTGGGAGGGGGCACAGATAACTTCACACAGGAGTGGGAGGCAGCTCCAGTAGCCATTTCAGTGAAATGCCCTGGAGAAGGCAGTTCTATTTCCTTGGCTCTTTCATATAAGACTAGAATTATAAAATAAAATACAAAAAAAAACTTTAGCACACTTTAACTTTTGCTTTCTGCCATTCAGGTTACCTGGTCTCCATGGAATGAGGTTGGAGCCCACTTTACACATCCTAGCGATTTCAGTCCAAAACTGGGGTGGGAATAGCATTTATTCATTTCCTTGCCTCTTTCCAAAAGGGATTTGAAGCTACTGGAAGACTCCTCTGAAGTTATGAAATATCACTCTACTATTGAGTTTTCTATACATTTTAAAACTCTAGGCTTTCAAACAATCTTTTCAGACTTTTTCCTTGGCAGGAATTTTAATCTCTTTCCTAACTAATTCAACAATATAAACCTAATCCTTAGCAGAAGGTTTTAATAACTGGGCTGCACTTTAGTCTTAAGTAGCAACAATTCCTACTCTCCAATGGTTCTTATATAAGTATTCCAAACATGAAAATCAGCAGAAAAGATTAATTTAAAAATTTAGGGAGTGTTGGGAATTCCCTGGCGGTCCAGTGGTTAGGACTTGGCACTTCCACTGCCATGGTCCCAGGTTCAAACCCTGGTCGGGGAACTAAAATCCCGCAAGCCACAGGGTGTGGCCTAAATAAATAAATTAATTAATTAATTAAAATAAAATAAAAATAAAAATTTAGGGAGTGTTGCCATTTATACTTCTACTCCAAACCTAAAAGTGCTTGATATTGACCCCTGTGAAATGTTCACACTTTACATGTAACTGTTAGGAAGTTTATTCAAAATTGCTCCCTCAGACCAACTTTTAATATTAAGATAAAACTACATAATTCTACGGAGGAGACCAGCTTTTGAAAGTCAGTGGAGGGACTTCCCTGGTGGCGCAGTGGTTAAGAATTCTCCTGCCAATGCAGGGGACGTGGGTTCGAGCCCTGGTCCCGGAAGATCCCACATGCTGCAGAGCAACTAAGCCCATGCGCCACAACTACTGAGCCTGCGCTCTAGAGCCCGCGCGCCTAGAGCCCGTGCTCCAGAACAAGAGAAGCCGCGGCAATGAGAAGCCCTTGCAGTGCAACGAAGAGTAGCCCCCGCTCGTTGTAACCAGAGAAAGCCCGCGTGCAGCAGTGAAGATGCAAAGCAGCCGAAAATAAATAAAATAAATTTATTTTTAAATATATATATATAGACTGGATTCCTACTTAGAACCTTCCAACAGTCACCCAATGCACATGGAATAAAATACTCATATCTCCAACCACAGCATGTCTCATACCATTCTCTCCCTCACCTAACCCACTCAGTCTATAGCAAGAACTCTGCAATACTCTTCCTTTTGCAAGCACTCTGCTCCTAGATCTTTGCAAGGCTGGCTCTTCCTTAATTAGTTTATCAAATGTACCTCCTCAGAGACCTTCTCTAACCACCTGACATAAAGTATTCTCCTCCCCCAGGTTACCCAACACAATGTTATTGTTAATCTACTTGTCTTCATGGCACTTAGCACTACCTGAAATTATCGAATTGTCTCATTTACTTGTTTGTTCCTTGTCACCTCCTCTAGGACATAAGGTCTATGTTGAGAGCAAGGACTGTGGTTCACCACTTCACCTCCCTAAAATAGTGCCCTGAATATATAAGGTAGGCGAGTATTTACTAAAGAAATAATGAATGATTCCTCATCTAGGACTAGGAGGAGGAGTTGTTACAAAGGAACATTCTGCTCAAGGTCAGTGACTGTGACTGATGATTAAAATAAACCACTAGCAATGGATGATTAGCGTAAGATTGTAACAAGGAACTAGGTAGGTAATTTACTTATAAATAATATTCCTTTTATGTTTAGTGTCTAATTTTAGCTGTTTTCATATAAAAAATTTTTTTCTAATGGGAAAAGCATAGTGAGGGCTTCCCTAGCGGCGCAGTGGTTAAGAATCCGCCTGCCAATGCAAGGGACACGGGTTCGAGCCTTGGTCCGGGAAGATCCCACATGCCGCGGAGCAACTAAGCCCATGCGCCACAACTACTAAGCCCGCGTGACACAACTGCTAGACCCCGTGTTCCGCAACGAGAAGCCACCGCAATGAGAAGTCCGCGCACCACGACGAAGAGTAGCCCCCACTCTCCACAACTAGAGAAAGCCCGTGTGCAGCAAAGACCAAACGCAGCCAAAAATAAAATAAATAAAATAAAATTTAAAATATATTTAGGGCTTCCCTGGTGGCGCAGTGGTTGAGAGTCTGCCTGCCGATGCAGGGACACGGTTCGTGCCCCAGTCCGGGAAGATCCCACATGCCGCGGAGCGGCTAGGCCCGTGAGCCATGGCAGCTGAGCCTGCGCGTCCGGAGCCTGTGCTCCGCAACGGGAGAGGCCAGCAGGTGAATTACAATGTTTTATTAATTACTGCTGTAGAGCAAAGTGACTCAGATATATATATATATATATATATATATATATATCTTTTTTTAAAAGCATAGTGAGATATCTATTGTTGACAAAATATACCTCTAATAACATGCCTGATTAAATATGATGCTTAAAATATCGCCACAGTGGTACTAAAAAATTGTCCCTAAGAGTTCAACGTTCTCTTGAATGCTGAACTCGCAAACTTAAGAATTATGGGGAATAAATACACATTCTTATTGCCTAGTGAGTCCACATCACTCTATATAGTAAATCACTTTACAGATCAGAGAATCGAGGCTCCCAAGTTAAAATTAAAATCTGGCTATTTCTTCCTAAAATTAGTAATCATAAAATATGTAAAAGTCATAGCCATTGGTTAAAAAAAAAGTGAGAACAATAAAAACTTGAAACGTGCTGAAATGTGCTTTAAGTACACTAATCAGGTCTGTAGTACTGCATCCGTTTTGCTCTTGGTGGAACCAAATGAACCTAACTCCCATCGCATTACCTTAGGACATGTTATGGCAGGCCCTCTTTCCATCAGTAATATATAATCTTCCAATGCTGGCCTCCTCAGCATGAAGTGCTTACCAGAGGAACTCGTCAGTATCTGGCCGGGGAACTTCCCCACGATGTCGCTGAACGGGACTGCCCCCCAGGTACTATTTAAGTGTCCGGCATTGCTCAACCTAAATAATTTTTTAAATTGTGTTTCTCTCTTCCCAGTCTCAGCTAAAATCAGCTCCCCAGCCCGAAAAGGCACCTCTCGGGTAGTTGACCAGGAAGAGGAGACGTGAAGATCGTCATCCTTGGTGGCAGACTGGGCCAAGGCGGGCAGTGAGGGACCCCCGGATCCCTGGTGTGCGGGACCCGACTGGCCCTGGTCTTCACTCGAGCCCTCGCGCTCTCGAGGGGGTGACTCCTTTCGCGGTGTCGGTAGTCTGAGGCTTTCCAGTGACGAAAGACATCTGGTCCCAAGTCCCCGGACGAGCGGAGGGAGAGATGGAGGCGACTCTGCGTCTGGGGCTTTCCTCTGTGCCGCCTCGCGCTCTCCTTCATCTCGCGCGTCTCTAGACGAGAATTTGCAACACGATAACCGGGCTCTCTCGAAGGGCTTTTGCCCAAGGCAGCGCAGGAATGGAAAGGTCCCGAACCCTGGCCACCTCCGGAGACGGCTCAGCGGTAGCAAGACCAGACCCAGGGGCCTGGTTGACAGCATGACGACCCGCGCAGGCGCAATCGCAGGCGACTGTCGCAGGGCCGAGGCTCCGCCTCTCGCTGCGCGCAGCATTGACGCAGCTGCCTGGGGGACGGACAGCTATTTCGCCGGAAGAGCTCTGCTACAGCGCCTGCGTCCCGAGAAGGGGCGCAGCGGCCGAGTTGGCAGCCCGGGGTTCCGTGAGGTAGTCGCTGAGTAGCTGTCCCGGGAGCGGGCCTCTTTCCCGCGCAGGGGCCCATTTTCCTCTTTGGAATGTGTGCAGAGTAAACAATTTACTGCTGACAAATCTCCACCAGCCTCGTCCGGGGACAAGAGGATTAAGAGAGACACAGCCTGTCAAAGCGTTGTCTAAGCTGAAGTCCTGTACCAGGGTTAGTTAGCTCGCTGGTAATCAGGAGGAGGAACGTCAGTCGGTCACCATAAGTAAAACTGGCCCCGAGATGCGTTTTTATAGACTGCAGTTGGACGTGCCGCCCGCTGACTGCAGCTACCTTCCCAGCTGACCGCCTCCTTCCCCCAGTCCTAGCGAGTCCCTTTTGACTGGGCTCTGACCACCTGCATGCCCTCCCCAGGCCCAGAGAGTCGGCGACCCTAGATTAAAGTGACTGTATTCACTGTGTGCTCATTTTACAGAATTGTTTTTAATCATTAAAATATAATAGTTAACTGTTTTACCCTCCCCAAAACTAAGTAAAATTATCTTAAAATGGGAAAAGGCCAATGTTAAAACAGGGGTGGCGGGGTAGAGGGGTGTTATAGGCTCCATTTCATCCCCCCCAGGTTCATGTATCGAAGTCCTAACCTTCAGTACCTTAGAATGGGACTGTATTTGGAGATAGGGTCTTTAAAGAGGTAATTTAAATTAAAATGTCACCAGAATGGGCCCTAATCCAATATGACTGCTGTCCTTGTAAGAAGAGATTCGGACACAGAGGGAAGACCATGTGAAGACACAGGCAGAAGATGGCCATCTACAAGCCAAGGAGAGAAGCCTCAGAAGAAACTAAACCTGCTAACACCTTGATGTTGGACTTCTAGCTGCCAGAACTGTGAGAAAATTAATTCTGTTGTTTAAGCCAAAAAAAAGAAAAAAAAAAGAGCATTGACTATATTTTCTAATTCTCCCTCTTTAAAAATGTTTATTCCCAGGTTTTGGCACCCTCCCCCAAATTTTTAAATAAAAATGAATTTATTTAATCCTAAAAATAGAACAAAAGAAAATTAAAAACTGGGAAAAAGTTATCTATGGAGTCCAAAATCTCATTTAACATTGAATATCACTAACCTGTTGGCTTAATATTAATTCAATTGGCAGAAGTTTATTAAGGGTCTGGCAATATCTAATGTGCCTGGTCTAATGAGGCACATTAGCTGTTTATTTCATTTAAGTTTACAACAATCCTGAGTCAGAAATAAGTATTCCAGTTTTACGTGTAAGAAAACTGACCCAAGGAGATTAAATGATTTGGGCAATAGCCCATAGCTGACAAGTGACATGACAGGGTTTCCTATCTAGGTCAGTTTGGTTCAGCAGTCCATGCTCTTTGTACTGTAACACCCCTTCTCAAAGGCTGGTCAACAGTACATTTGAATTCAAAGTTAACATCGGAATACATTCACAGAGCTACGAATTCAGTTTAAATTTGAGAAAAGAAGTCTTGTTATTACTTTCAAAGACATAAATTCTTTCTAATCTGTGCTTTCTAAAATATCAACCATCGTAAACTCCATCATCAGGACTTCTCTCTTTTAATCCTAAAAATGAAAAAAACAAAACAAAACAGCCCTGCTCTCCCCCTATCCCAACTGCATGTCTCACTTTTGGTTTTGATTTGTTTTAAGAAAAGTTCTTTTGACTAACCTTTATGTTATCATTGCCAAATATGGGTCTGCGTTGGAACCTTCTGAATCCTAAGCTCTACAATTGTTTTTAAATTTATCATTCCTAATTTATTGTCTCGTTATTAAATGATATTTGGCTGTTATTTCAGAAGGAGTAAGAATTAGAAAGATGGTATATTGACAAAATATAGGAAGTAAATTTATGTATCTTTGATTTCTGAGATAAATTGTGAACAGTTAACGGCATTCCCTTCTTTCTATTATTTGAATAACAGACACGGTGATATAGTTTGTCCTACACACATCTAATGAAATGCATTAACATACGCTGAAAAATATAATTATTCCTTATTTATTCATGATCTTTCAGAGCATTTAAGCTCTCAAAAAGAAGTCACTCTGTGTGCTTTTCTATTTCTGTCTATACTTTTCCTTTCCTATCTTTCCTATGAAACTGCCAACTTGCACTCTGAAACTATTCTCTGAAAATATGAGGCATCATCAACTCATCATTTTTACATTAGGGTATAAGACCAGAAAGATACTATCGTCTAGTGGCATTTAGTCAAGCAACCACTTTAAAATCCAAATAGATGTCAAGAAATGCTATTACTGATGGCTGACATTTTAAAATCTCCAGTCAAACTATATCTCTATGTCTAGTTCCACAAATGTTCTCCTCTAGCTCTTTGCATATGCTTCTTCCCTCTATATAACTCCAAAAGACTGGGAGAAGTGCCTCTCCTCTGTACTCTTGGTATGTCCTATCTTTAGACCTATCATGGTGTGTGTCATACTGTGTGGAATTTGTTGTTTACTTACCATTTCCCTGGTTAAGAGATAAAATTGTTCAGAGAGCTATGTCTTGTTCATCATTATAATTCTGTCATAGTTATATCACTATAATCCTGTTATATCATTGTATCATATTATATGGTATATATGATATATTGTATGTATAATATCATCGTATTTCATAGCTGTATCATTATAATCCTGTCATAGTACCTGGCACACAATATGGCTTCAATAAATATTTGTTCAATGAATGAAGAAAGTAGGAAATGAGAAAAAATAGCAGCCCTGATACCTAAGTCCCTATACGAAATAATTCCAACATGTAAATATGATCCAATTACATTTAATAGTTACATATTTTGTTCTGTATCTACACATGTACTTAGCTTTTTTAGAACTGTTGAAGTTTTTCTTACTGACTTTTAGTGAAATAGGAAGTATCTAAGTCTAAGAATATAACTTCCTTTCTCTTGCCTTTTCATTTTTTTCCTGAGTTGCTGCTCACTTGAATCTGGACCCTGTAGAAATCCTCTATGATTTACTGTTGTATTACTAGAAATTGCAAATTTAAATCTAGAGAATTTAAAATTTTTCTTAAATATGTGTACAGTTTTAAAGAAAAATTGCATGATACTTAGACTTGGAGAATCTTCTTACTTATCATCACCCACCACCACTCACTAAACACCTTTTTTGGTTCCTAAAGTAAAGGACAGTATACAGGATGATTCAGAACCAGTTTGTTAGCACCTTGTGAGCCATCGTTTTAGAATGTTGAGAACTGATCAGTCTTCCTTGGGATTGAACTCCTGGAGAGGATCCTAGATCCTCCTTCCTTCTCCTCAGGGTCCTTCTTTTGGAGAATGGCCTGACTCTCACCTCCATCCCACCAGCCCTACTGCTGGTCAGGGTCCAGTGCTAGTCTGGGCCTCAGAGAACCTCTACACTGCACCCCTCCCTTCTACCCTCAATCTCTTTCTCAGTTGTCATCAACTCACACTGCAGAACTCAATAACCAATCTTCTGATTTCTAAATTGTGAAGCATTTAAGCTTTGTGTTTATGTTCACTCTCTTTGTTTATGAATGCTCATAAACTCTTCAAAATTTAAAACCTTTTTAAAACTTAAAACCTTGGGCATATCCATCCATCTATTCATTCGCAATTCCTTCATTTATTTACTTTGCATAATTGACTCGTAATCATGCTTATCTCACCTCGAGGGGACTCCCCTGAACACCCAAGACAAATACTGTTCTAATCTTTCTTCTTCTTCTTTTTTTTTTTTATAAATTTATTTATTTTTGGCTGCATTGGGTCTTTGTTGCTGTGCACGGGCTTTCTCTAGTTGTGGCGAGCCGGGCCTACTCTTCATTGCAGTGTGCGAACTTCTCATTGTGGTAGCTTCTCTTGTTGCAGAGCACAGGCTCTAGGTGCGTGGGCTTCAGTAGTTGTGGCACGCAGGCTCAGTAGTTGTGATGCACGGGCTTACCTGCTCTGTGGCATGTGGGATCTTCCCGGACTAGGGCTGGAACTCGTGTCCCCTGCATTGGCAGGTGGATTTTTAACCACTGTGCCACCAGGGAAGTCCCTAATCTTTCTTCTATATATTGCTTTTTATTTAGTTTTTGTAAAATTGTAGTCATACTTTAATCTTTTTCTCACATTAGCTCTTTGTGTCAAAGATTATGAATGGGGCTTCCCTGGTGGTGCAGTGGTTGTGAGTCTGCCTGCCGGTGCAGGGGACACGGGTTCGTGCCCCGGTCCGGGAAGATCCCACATGCCATGGAGCGGCTGGGCCCGTG